CGAACGCAAAACCATTTGACGCAACGAGGGCAGAATTAAAATTATGAGTGAGAGAAACCCATAAGGCCTCTTTTAATAATGAAACCGTGGGTAGAACCACAAAGATCCTATGGGGTGACCCTAACGAGAGCAGGACGAGAAGCCTCCTCATAGTATGATGGTACGTATTCTGAGTGGACACACAGGATTCCGGGCACACCTATATAAAATTGGACGTGCGGATTCAAACGAATGTAGAGCATATAGAGAGGACAGTGAAACTCGGCAGCACTTTCTTTGCCATCGGCTTTCGTCGAAATTAGATCCAAAATATATCTTGGAATTATTCCGGATGTAATATCCCTCACGAACACTGATTGGATAATTCTTAGGAATTACGTCCAGGAAACTGAGTTGCTGAACATCGGACGATAATACATTTAGTGAATACCATGATTTAAAAAATATATATGTATAATATTTTTTATACCATGGTGAATACTATATAAGGTTTTTGTTTTTACCAAAAAACATTTTTCATGAAAAGGAGCGCACAACAGGCCCGATAGTAGACTAGGTGTATTTCGGATTTGATGTATCCTCCTATCAACCTAACCTAACCTACAAAAGTCTTAATATGTTTATTAGTTAAAATGTTATAAAGGGCCAAAAAGGTATCAAAATCACATTTGTTACGCATGTTCACCCACTAAACGTACGAATTTTGAAAAAGTTCCGAACACTTAACTGTTTTTTCGAAGTGGATGCAAATACATTCAAAAGCAAGATAATCAAGAAACCCTTTTTATACCTAAATATCCCAATTTTCAAAAATAAAACTACTGTCAAAATTTCATGATTCTAGGTTCAGATGTTTAGGCTATGCGATGATGAATCAGTCAGTTATTTGATCAGATTACTTAAGAATTTGAGTTAGTCTTGCATTTATGAAGGCCCTCAAATCGAACGTAATGAAGTAGAAATGCCTTCTCAATTATATTTGCTCCCTGTTTAAACTCAATGTTAAATAAGGATTTTAATTTATTTAACATTTTTTATTTACTTCTACATATTAGGATTAAAAAATGCATAAGAACATGTACATATATTTCATCTATAAGAACATTTATAATTCATCTACATCTCTAAATGTAGAGTAAAATATATATATCACATTCCGGTTGTAACAACTTTGGCAGTTATTTCAAATTTTAATTGAAACGTACATACATATGTACATTAGACCGACTCACAAAAAATGGTGCTTGAGTTACCCCTATCAAACGATACCCCATATTGAATATATTGGTTTAAAAGAAAACTAAAAATTTAAAAAAATTATTCAAAAATGCCTTTTTTAAATTTGGTCTAGCTCACGAACGGACATCGCAACAAGGTTAATTTTGAGAGGTAACAAAAACAAGTTTTTGCTTTCCATACAGAGTGAGTCGGTCTAATGTACATACGAACTATGTTTCTTTTAGTAATTATTTATTTTAAATTAAGAAACTGTAATTTATGTTGTTAATGTTAAATTTAACTTTAAACCAAGTTATTGAAATTTCGTAAAAGATAAACAATTATGGGTATTTACATATTCAAATGGTGCAATATTTGTAGTGTATATATTTTTAAAAACGCCAAGCAAAGAATTGTCTATTAGATAAACATTTTTCTAACATTTTCACAGTTCTTTAATAAAAACAACGATTAGATCTTTAGTGTAATTTTGAATCCAGATCATGCGTGCCAAAGAATCGATATTGAAATCTGCGAGATTAGAATAATAATATCAGATATGCTTTCGAAAAGCTCCTCGAATAGGGCTCTTGAGCTCATAATTACTTATGGTCACTATTCTAGTATCTCTACAAAAATCGGCTCAACTTAGTTTTATATACATAAGTCTAAGTGATACTGCCAAATTGAACTCTAGACCCCATACAAACCTATAACCTTTTTTTAAACACAATATGGTGAAGGGTATATAAAATCCTGTACAGGCAAATATATTAATCTTATGTTTGTTTAATTCCTATTTTCGATATCAAAGCTATACAATGTTCTGCATGTAATTCCAATCCTAGAGATTGGCTACATCTGTAGAATTAGTTCATAAATCCTTTAAAAGAGGTCTTGTCAGAGCAGTTGAAAATGTTTGGCATACATTTAGCTTGTTACTCCATCCTGCTTTCCAGTGGGTTTTCTTCTATAAGATGTAAAAGAACTCCAAGTACGGCATAAATGAGGTATCCTGCAACCGCGGTATCATTCATTATATATGAAAATTATTCGTGACATGTCGCCATTTGAATTAGAATGACTCTCCCGGTAACATCCCAGGAGGAATTATTTTGTCAGCAAAAAGTTTATCTACTTGGATCTGTCTTATTTAGTTTCAAAAGACTCCTAGAGTTGTCCTTATTTAAGTCCCCCAACAATTAGTATTAATATTAATCTTCTGAGATGTTTTAGCTTAGTCTTAAAACTTTTTCCAAATTATTGTTATGCCATATCCTAACATAATTTGCCATATTATTCGTCTCTTCATTCATATTCGCCCATATCACGTACGAGGTGAGAGCTTTGAGAGATGCCAATCTGTCAATGTAGATGTTAATGGTCGAAATCTCGAGATTTAGTTCTCGTATATTTGCAGCCGTAAATCGTAATGCAGGTTATCTAATGAAAACCAAGTTTATCGCATAAAATTTCCAAGAAATTGTCCAGTTTTTGAGTTATGTCGCATCGCACCAGTTTTTTTTTGTTGGTATTCTGATTCAGTTTGTTACTAACTTTCCAATTTTATGAACGGAATTATCAAAAATATATATATTTTGCATTTGTGATAAATATGCTCAACGGCAAAGCATTGCAAGAATGGCTTGAGGATAAATGCAATTTAGTTTATACAGCGTGAAACATAGGCCAGAAATGTTTTATGACTCCTGTGGACATGTAATTTTTGAGACCCCATGTCTTTGCGAAGGAAACTTTGAAAACTTCAAATCTACACACTCAAATCTGGTAGAAATTACAATTTAGTCTTTATGGGCTTGACGCCTGCGTTGTTTCCACTGACCGCCCTTTTTAGATATGCTTGTTGTGTCTTGCAGAAGTTAGTAAAATCGGTCCGCATTGCTCCCACTTCAAATGTCTTCGGAATTACAATTAACCACTAAAAATTATGTTAATTAGGTATTAATTGTTAGCAAATTTAACACTTCACACACAATCATAAAGTTTGGTGAAAACAGGGCCACATTTTACCCCAACCCCCATTAGGGTCTTTCAGAAAATTACATAAGGACCATAATGAAATAATATTTACACAAATTCATCTATAGACGATAGGATCAAAAAGGCACTTCGGTGCAGAACCGTAGGCGTAAAATAGGCTATTAGCCCTAATATGACAAACGAGCTTTATAGACTAATTCTGACTAATGCTTCAATAATCTGGTTGACTTCTTGGACAAAAAATCTAATATCAATCTTCTACATGGGAGTTCAGCGTACATGTTGCTTGGGTATAATGGGCCATAAGCACACGTCAACTAAGGCTCTGGAAACGTTGCTAGACATTTCTTCCATTGAAACATAAATACATATACATATGATATAATGCGATGGAACGGCGTTTAACTTTAGGCGAGTTGACCAAAGGCGGTTATAGGACGCGTTAACAGAACACATTGGATGTCTATAAACAGTCTTTGAAAATTTGATCCCAGATATATGGTCCGAGCTATAACGGAATGCGTAAATTGGCTAGGAATAAATATGGCGCCAAGAGGGTTTAAAGAAGGCAATTAGGCCGATATTTGGTGATAAGATTAAATTTAAGACCATATTGGAAAGCTTTAACCGAATTTTCTCCCAGAGGTATGCTTTGCATTTTATGGTTATCAGACCACTCGGGACTAATAGGTAACGAAAGAACAAATGTACTTGACTTAAGGGCAAGGGAACTCGAGGTGCTAACCGGACGAACGCACAACCGATCGACACAATGAGTGCTAAATAAAAATATGGGCGAGCGAATCCCATAAGTGGATACACAGAATTTCAGGCACTATAATGTAGGGATTGTGGAGATAACAGGGAGTACTTTCTTTCGTCTTGTTTTCTTTGAATCTAATGTTGGCTTTCATCGAAATTAGAATCAAATATTGTGAGAACGATATTATTCGGGAAACTAAAATTCTGAACATCGGACCTTCATTGATATCTATTTAAGTTCATGAGAAGGAGCACAAAACAGGCCCGATAGTGGCCTAGGTGTATTTCTTTGAATTTTATGTAGTAATAAGTACATTCTACATAACCTAACATAAATTCTTCTACCAAATTTCATTCGGATCGGTCTATATTATATGTAAGAGCCCATAAGATGTATTCGTCGGAAAATCTCGTATTTGTATAATATTCTATAAGTTTCGATCTAGTATTATACCAGCACTTACATTCATAATAGCTTAATAGCTTCATTACTTCATAGCTGATTTTGGGTATCATAGTATGTTCTAGTACGACCGATTATTATCTTAAACTAGGTCATAGCTATCTAATATTTTACGAAGATACAGGTAATTTTCGTTAGATCATTACTTCTTTAAAGATGTTCTTCTTTAACAGTTAAGGCATCGCATGTGGTTATCGCTGATATTATAAACATCATGTTCAAAATAAAAGGTGTTTTGTTGATTTTGGAGAACAAAAATATGCAAGTACTTGTACTCATTCTCTCATTGTGTTATATTCTCATTATTTTTAGAAGCATTTATTCTGAAATGTGTGGTGAATACAACAATATTGCTGTGACGGACTGGCTGCCTGCCATTCAGCTCTATGTCTGCTTGTATGTAATCACTTGTATTTATTTGTGTATTTTTTACAAATTCTCTTGCTGTGTACTTATGTATGTCTGTCTGTCTGGCTTTGTATATTTGCAGCTGTAGGTATGTTCGTGTTTAATTGAGTTTTTTCTTGTTGTTCGAAAGAAGTTGTGTTTGTTAAGGTTGAATTAGTTTGATATTAGCAAGCAACATGAACGGTTGTTAGTAGATGATAGCTCGTTAAATAGAGTCGAGAGTGCACTTTTGTTCAGCGACAAAGAAGGAAGGAAAAAAATAGTTTGTTAAATCAATGGAGTAATGATTTAGTTGATTTTATTTTTAATTCATTACATTTGTTTTATACACGATTTTATTCTTCGAATATTTAGGTTTAATTACATTTTGTTGAAATATTAACTGCTTACGTTTTGAAAACAATTTATAAATTCTACTTTATTTAAATTTAACACGTGTTACCTTTTGACTGCAAAAACAACAACAACCACAAGTAACTAAAACTTGAATAAATATTATTTTCATGGCAAAAAAGCCAGATAAAACAAAACTTCAGACACAACAATAAAAACTAATAAAAAAGAACTAAAAAACAAAAGGAAAGAGAAACATGTGGTTTTTATAAGTTAAAACCAAGTTTGTGTAAAAGAAATAATTTTCTTTTTATGTGTTAAATATAATAATACACGCTTTACAATTTCGGTTTAATAGGAAAAAGTAAAAACGGTGAAAATACAAGCGGCCTTTTGAAGTTGAAAACGTCCATTGAAGTTTTAAACGTAAACGTGTAATACGAGTCGGTAATAATTTCACTCATAATTAAACGCTCTCACTCCGTTCGTACGTTCGATTGTTTTGTGTGATTGAAAAAAGAGAAAAGCTGATGTAATTCCACAACATATTTACGACAAACCAACAAACAAACCTCAAATCGTAAGAAACGCAAAAACGTAGAAGAAGAAGAAGAAGTAAAACAACCCGCCAAATCATACAACTTCCTTTTTTGTTTGTTAAAAACACACATTCAAACACAAACACCAAATCCAACCAATCTACCAACCACATTCTCGCACATCCATACACACGTCTTTTTCTTTACCAAAATTTCTTTCTCTAATTGGACTTTTTAAATTTAAATTATGGCTCGCATTCAGGCCGGTGATAATTTAGTACCGAGGCAAGTGTTTGAAATGCCCAGTACTACTGCTGCTGCAGACAACAGTAAAGATGTGCAAAACTGTGATAGTTCCAGCCAGGGTTCTGGCGTTAAACTTAAGAAACGTATTGGCCTTTTAGATGGTGTAGCCATTATAGTTGGTGTTATTGTTGGTGCGGGTATTTTTGTCAGTCCCAAAGGTGTTTTAAAATATTCCGGCTCAATTGGTCAATCGCTTATAGTATGGGTTCTCTGCGGCATACTAAGTATGGTGGGAGCATTATGTTACGCTGAATTGGGTAAGTTCAAATCATTTATATAGTAATTATGATTTTTATTTTTGGTAAAAAAATGCTTATAGATTAGAAATTGAAATTTAATCTATCTATGTATATTAGGATTTTAGCTAAAATTAGGCCCTATCACTACGCTGTAGCCTGCAGCGTTCTAAATCCCAAAACATTTTACACGGGTCATTTTGCTGCAAAAACCTTCTGTAGCAAATCGATTTTCTAAACCCATTCACAAACAAATTTACATTAATATTTAATTTATAATCTAAATACATATGTGTATGTTTTGGGTACTAAATTTGAAAGAAAATTTTATAGAAGTCATATGGAAGACCAATGCGTCGAGCATGGTTGCCAGTAATGATGGATACCAGATTACCTAGTTGTTGTCTAAGAAGACTTAGGAGATAAACCTTTTTTTTGTAGGATCATATGAGGCCACAACGCTCTAGCGACCGGGGAAGTGTACTCATTTCCCCGAGAAGATGGGCTACCATCTCATCTTCATCCTCATTCTGACAATTCTGCAGACATTATTATTTGGAAGACTAATGCGTCTAGCATGGTTACCAAATTTGCAGTGATCAGTAATGATAGATACCAAATTACCTAGCAATCGGGGAAGTGTACTCACTCGACCAACGGTTCTGAGCGTTGGAATAAAAGATGTCTGTGATCTGTCTTTTTATTGCAGGTAGTGGAACTCCACAGAACTGGTCTAATACCAGTTCACTTAGTGTGGTTACAACTCTTGTCAAAGAGTCGGCAATATTATTACCATATGCAGTACCGCGTCCTTTGACCCATGGTTGAATGTCTCGCCATCTCATTAAGAGAAGTTCGACATTCATGAACAAGTCTAGATGTGAAAAACACAGCAATCAGCGATTTTAAAGCAGTTTGACTATCGGTATAATGATATCTCTGTTTGATATTCGCTACCATCCTCTCCAATTTGACGCCCTCTTGATCACTCTTGATCATTGATATGAGGCCACTTGATCACTGATATGAGGCCACAACGCTGTAGCCACCGGGGAAGTGTACTCATTTCCCCGAGAAGATGGGCTACTCTTATCTTCATCCCCATTCTGACAATTCTGAAGAAATTTTTTTGGAAGACTAATGCGTCTAGCATGGTTACCAAATTTGCAGTGATCAGTAATGATAGATACCAAATTACCTAGCGATCGGGGAAGTGTACTCACTCGACTAACGGTTCTGAGCGATGGAATAAAAGATGTATGTGATCTGTCTTTTTATTGCAGGTAGTGGAACTCCACAGAACTGGTCTAATACCAGTTCACTTAGCGCGGTTCCAACTCTTGTCAAATATTATTACCATATGTAGTACCGTGTCCTTTGACCCATATAAGGGTAATTTTTGAATGTCTCGCCATCTCATTAAGAGAAGTTCGAAATTCATAAACAAGTCTAGATGTGGAAAACACAGCAATCAGGGATTTTAAAGTAGTTTGACTAACGGTATAATGATATCTCTGTTTGATATCCGGTACCACGCTTTCTTGATCACTGATATTTCAGCTTGAAGGATACTGCAGTCACCATTGAGTCTAACAGAGATTTAAATCCCAAATTCTTCAATATCTTGGATCTCTCCTTTCGTTGTCTTGGGTCCATCGGTATACACACGGAAAAAACTATTTAACGGAAGGACTGATTCTTTAGACTTCGTAAATATATGTTATTGGAATTGTTTCAAGAGAAACAGTTCAGGGATGCAATAATCAACGGCATGTTTCAAGTATTCCATTTGCCAATTAAACTCAATCTGGCAGCAGTGCACATTGGCTAGAAAATCTTTGAGGGAGTTGTTCTTATAATACCGATAATGAAAACAGCAGAAGATTTCATAACCTTTTCAAGATGTTGTCTGTATGAAGCTCATCCCACGAACATTTGTCGGGTTTATACCCCTGCATATTCCAATGACCTTTCTGCAAATATATAGCGCAGTACTGGCATTTATCTAGAACTAGAAAGTGTAAAGGTATAAATACCACAGGATGACTTAATATAGACAATCGTTTGAAAGCCAAGATATCGTAGTTTTACGAATAACTGTTAATGACCACATTCCACAAGAGCGAGCATATTACGCCAACCAGTAAAATACCTTCTGCCAATTTTTTTAGATATCTTTGTGTTTAAGTTCTAAAACAATATGTATTACTCTTTCAAATTCTGAGAAGATATGAAGTCCAATTTTCGAAATTAAATTTAATAATTGGCCAAATTTTGATAAGTATATGTATAACCCATTCTTTCGAAAATTACTTTAATTTTATTCATAGCAGGGTGTGTAACAGTTAGAGGATTTTTATTACAACAACGCATTATTTCGGTGAACATAAGCGTCATTTTACGTTTGTAAAATAGTGAATTTCTAGGGGAGGGTAATTAATCAAAATCCTTAAAAAATACGCACATATTTGTTTATGTATTTTGAAGAATTTTACCTTTATAGAAGAAGTTGCAGCCAGGAGTGGTCAGCACAAGGAGAAAAAATCAAACACATACATATTTTGAAAGCATTTTTGTTTTGTTGTATATAAAATTTCTATTGTTTACCGACCTATTGTCAGGGCCAATCACTAGTCTATACTATGTATATACTACTTAAAATAATAAAATAGTTGACGGGAATTTTGACAATATTTTTGAAAAACAAAAGCATAATGTCCATGGACATTATAACACACCATATAGTTAGACACTTTTAAAAGGACTTTGTGAAACTTTGAATAAAGAAATATATTGGAATGTAGGCTACTTTCTTCCGGATAAAATTGATTCCAGCAATAAATTCCTTTAAAATGATAAACTCTGGGTTATTTTGAACACGGACTTTGCGAAATAAAGCTTCTTGATATACATTTGTATGTACTCTTTGTAACCCATGAACTTTATGTCACTATGCTTATGGACATTATGACACTTGATGGTGTGTAATGACGTCTATTTACATTTATCATAACGATTAAAACAATTTGTGTATAGTGACGATAAAAAATAAATAAAATAAATAATCAGACATTGAGAAAATGGGGGTAAATATGTTAAAAAAATAACGAATAAATATGAAAAGAAGTAAGAACACTTGTCTTTTTAGTTTTCTTTTCTTAAGGTTAAATTTTATTTACATAATTATATTTAAATAAGTTTTAATAATAGGGTTTCTAAGCGGGAATATCCCGGAAAATTTCGGAAATCCCGTTTAAAGATTTTTTCATCAATTTACTAAAAATATTAGATAATTATAGGAAATACTACTGGTAATTACTTAATATAAAATACTATTTAAGTCGTATTATTCATTTGAATTAATAATGATATCGGGATCAAATTCGGCTCGAATGCATTTAGTATATATCTATCGGCCTATTATTTGTCATCGCTTCCATATAAAGTTCTCAATGGAGAATCAATTAATAGTAAATAACTCATTACATCCTTAATTAGGATGAAATTCTACACGAATATGCTAGGTACATATTAGGGATGCCAATCCCGATCCCGAAAATTCCCGGGATTTTTCGGGATTAGAAAATCCCGAATCCCGGGATTTGCAAAATAAATCCCGGGATTTTTTCGGGATTATTGTCCCAAAAAAGTCGATAACTCGACTATCGTCGACTTTTCATAAAATGCAAAAATTCGAAAAGTCAACTTTTAACAAAATGCAAAAAGTCGAAAAATCGACTTTTCTTTTCAACTATAGAACCTTAATACTTAAGCACCCTTCACTCGAGCACACAAGTAATATGAACTGTCAAACTTTTGTGTAAAAGAGAACGGATGGGATCGTCTAAACGCAATATGTAATGAAACCATCACACATTAAGAGAAAATGCGGATGGAAAATTTGACAGTCGTATGGCACTCTTCATTTTTTTAAATGATTCAAAAAACAAGCAAGTCGCATTAGATCAGGGATGTATTTTTATGAAACCATATACAAAAAAATTGAAACAGCTGTTTCCATCTTACTTTGTTATTGTTTCATACCAATCGTAAAAAATATAAATCATACGACTTTTATTCTCTTTGTTGTCATACGGATGGAATTTCATTTTACTTTTTCATTAGACGTACGTAAAGTGTGATCGTCTGAAGGGCCCTTTAGTTAACGCTGAACAAGAAACACATTTTTACTACTAATCTCTTCTTAGACATTGATGGGTTAACTGGTAACTGTTCTTTTTTAGCCCGTCTCGTGTTGCTAGGTAAAAAATTCGTCAAAATAAAACGTAATGGCCTAGTGTCTGCGCCATACGTATAGAATACAATTTACATATTCAACATTTTCTTACTTACATAATATTGTTTTTGTTCACACTTAAAACTGATGAATCATTAAATTTTGAATATTTTTTATTTGGTTTCAGACTAATTAACATAATAAGGGTTTTAGTTTAACTTTTCATTAAAAATTACCAAAAATTAACATAATTATTTAATTTTGCTGTTGCTATTTGAATATTTAAAAGAAATAACAACAAATTATTATAACATTTAAAGATAATCTATTTAATTCTTTAGATTATTACACCAAGGTCCATAATTTTTCGGAAAAATTTAAATATTTTAAATTTCTGAAATAATTAATAAAATATGTCTGAGAGTATAATTCTTTAGGTATTAATATATGTGAAAATTATCAGTTTTTGGTAAACATTTTATTTGTTTGACGACATCTGAACTTTTGTTAGAATTAACATAATAGAAGAAGATATTTATATTATTGATAAGACGAATTTTTTAGCGAACATGTTTAATATGGATTAGGGAGTTTATAACGACCCTTATTAGTCAATAGTCAATAAATCATTAGTTAATAAATTTGGATCCAGAATATATCTAGGGCCTTCTTTTTGATTTCAAGAAACATTTGGAGCGGAAAGTTTTCATGCATAATGGACCCGCAAATTTTATATTATGAATTCATTATTGGCTGTCACGTAATGTTAGATCGCTATTGGATC